GTTATATGAATAGTGGTCGTAGGCGTAGCAACTGTGGTAATAGTAGTAGCAGCTGTGATGGTAGGAGTGGTAGTCGCAGTAGTAGCAGTAGTAATAGACGTCGTGACAGCGGTGGTCGTAGTAATAGTTAGGGGTCGCAACCCGAGACGTGTAGTAATGTTAATATTAATCGTATTACTCGCAGTAGCAGTAGTAGTTGTTGTAGTAGCTGGAGTAGTAGTCGTAGCCGTCGTCGTAGAAATATGAATAGTCGTAATCGTAGTCGTCGCTGCAGTGGTCGTAATGGTAGTAGTAGTAGTAGTAGTAGTAGTAGTAGTAGTAGTAGTAGTAGTAGTAGTAATAGTAGTAGTAGTAGTGGTAGTGGTAGTGGTAGTGGTAGTAGTAGGAGTGGTTGTAGTAGCCGCAGTAGTAGAAGTAGTAGTAGTAGTAATAGTAGTAGTAGTAGTAGTAGTAGTAGTAGTAGTAGTCGTAGTAGTAGTAGTAGTAGTAGTAGTCGTAGTCGTAGTCGTAGCAGTAGTAGTAGTAGTAGTAGTAGCAGTAGTAGTAGCAGTCGTCGTAGTAGTCGTAGCAGTAGTAGAACATAGGAATCGCAGTAACAGTAGTAGTAGTCGTCGTCGTCGTAATCGCAGTAGTAGTAGAAGAAGAAGAAGTAGTAGTAGTAGTAGTGGTAGTAGTAGTAGTAGTAGGAGCAGTAATAGCTGTAGTAGTAGTAGTAGTAGTAGTAGTAGTCGTAGTAGTCGTAGTAGTAGTAGTAGTAGTAGTAGTAGCACAAGCCTCGTTAAAAAAACAGAAGGCTCCTGAATTCGGTGATTGTGGGGTCAACGCTACTCCAATGCTGACGGGTTCCTGTTGACTCGGACGCGGTGTTGTCCAAAAACCGGCTCCACCCTCTCAGCATTGAAAAACGCTCTCTCTGACAAGAGCCCGAAAGCATCGTGCTCCAGGATTTCAACTTCCACTTTTGGATATGTTTGACGAGGCTCGTAATCGTAGTACGAGTAGTACAAGTAACAATAGTAGTAGTAGTAGTAGTAATAGTAGTAATAGTAGTAGTAGTAGTAGTAGTAGTAGTAGTAGTAGTAGTAGTAGTAGTAGTAGTAGTAGTAGTAGTAGTAGTAATAATAGTAGTAGTAGTAGTAGTAGTAATAGTAGTAGTAGTAGTAGCAGTAGTAGTAGCAGCAATGGTAGTAGTAACAGTAGTAGTAGTAGTAGTAGTAGTAGTAGTATAGTAGTAGTAGTTAGTAGTAGTAGTAGTAGTAGTAGTAATAGTAGTAGTAGAGTGTTCGTCGTGGTAGTAGTAGTAGAGTAGTAGTAGTAGTAGTAGTAGTAGTAGTAGTAGTAGTTGTAGTAGTGGTCGTAGTAGTGGTAGCAGCAGCAGCAGTAGTGGTAGTGGTAGTAGTAGTAGTAGTAGTAGAAGTAGTAGTAGTGGTAGTAGTAGTAGTAGTAGTAGTAGTAGTAGTAGTAGAGTGTTCGTAGTAGTAGTAGTAGTAGTCGTAGTAGTAGTAGTAGTAGTAGTAGTAGTAGTAGAAGTAGTAGTAGAAGTAGTAGTAGTAGTAGCCGTAGTAGTAGTAGTAGTAGTAGTAGCAGCAGCAGTAGTAGTAGTAGTAGTAGTAGTAGTAGTAGTAGTAGCTGTTGTTATGGTAGTAACACTGATAATGGTAATGATAATGATAATGATAATGCTAATAATATTAAGCATGATAATCGTGGTAGGGGTCGCGCTGACGTGCCCAGCTTAGTGCGGTGCTACTCAGATCACGCCATCCCTTGGGGGCTGCGAACTGCGAAATTGTTGTCACTACCGAAGGCCGTTGGGGGCTCAAGAGGAGTGCTAAGCAACGGCCAGGTGTCAGGGTGCCAGGATAGCGCTTCAGGGTGCTTGGTGCGTTACCGTTTCAACTGATGGGGGGATCTTAATCGCCGACCTGAGTAAATACATGGCTTGTGAACCTCAGAGGGAATGGACAATACGCACAGTCTGACCCCCCCCGATTTCGCACTCAAGGATTCCTGCGCTCTTTATCCTTCTCTGAGCCTTCTGGGGGGACCTCGTCTCCACGGCCTGATCGGCCCCAGTTGAGAGGCAACATGAGGGTTGGGACTGGCTCAAGCGGGGAAACATCGAGCTGGAATTGGCGATACATCGTCGATAGACCGTCGACAGGTCCCCGATCTTGAGCCCGCGCACTCCTGGGTGAAGTGGGCTGTCACGCCCGTCGGCGATGAATGGGCGATTGGGGGTCGATGCCCCCCCCCGCTGGAGCTGCCCCTGACGTTCCTCCTGCTCGTGGCCTCCTGGAGGGTCCTCGTTCCAAGCGGCGGACCCGCCCCAGATTGAGCAGGGACCGACCGTCCAGGCAATCCTAATTATGGCCCTGCCGCGACATGCTCTTAGATCCCGAAACATGCTCTAAGAACAAGACTGTCTCAGCCAGGAATGTTCGGAGAACATCTCGTGCAGACCTTGGTGGGCCTATAGAAAAGCCAGGACGCCTCGCCA